ACGCTATATGGGCCACCGTGTATTTAACGTAAAGGGTGGCCCACGAAAAATTTGCTTTATTAAATCGCTTCAAGCGTAAACTTAACCATTTCGTAAACTGCAAACCTTCTACTAAATATCTGACTCATTAACAATGACAATCGAAATGCCAAAGTCTAAATTATGGATATTTCAAAAAGCAAACGCTACATGGGCCACCCTTTATTAACTGGCATCTGCATAACCCATTAACCTCTCTGTAAGTTCCAGTAACTTACCAAAACTCCAAGGCATTTCTGATCTAACAACGCCTTTACTAACTAATAACTAAAGTTATTCTCTTTCTAGTTACTACCATTTACTCTAGTTACTATCATTTACTCTAGTTACCATCATTTACTCTACTTACTCTGTGTAATAACCCAAAACAAACACCAACCTCCGATCTCTAACAGCAATAAACAATCCACAAGCCTCTGCAATTCATCAATTAGATCAATTATCAAGTCGGTCTCAGAGATATATACATATATAGATAGATATATATATATATATAGATATAGTAACAATAACAACCAAAGTTAAGGCAATGAGGGCGTGTCGAACATGATTACCAGAGCAGCAACTACTTAGGCACATAATTGGCAAACTCTAGACGACAACAACAACAAGTACTACTACTACTATGACGGGCAAACAGGCAACAATGGCCAACACATGCACCACTTAAAACTATGTTGAAAGGACGAAGGATCCAAATGTAGGGTTGGGGAAAAACAGTAACCAGTAACAGCAACAGGAAAAGCAACACCAACAGCAACAGCAACTATGCAACAATTTTCCATGAAAGTTTTCCAACAGTTAGCGGACATCTTCAACAGACTTTGGCGGGTAATTAATAATTAATAGAAGAACTATTGCCTAAATACGAGTAAAGTACAGTAAAACATAACAAGAACTTTTGCCAAAGAGTGAAGTTTTGTGAAAATATTACCTGTCCAGAATAATTTTATTAGATTTTACAGTAGGTGGTGAAGTTAGTTTAGATTTTTCCATTGGTTTTTAAATATTTTATATTTTATTTTTTGATTTTTTAGAGAAGTTTAATATATAATTATGAATTTTTAAAAGTATTTTTAGGCAAGTTAAAGTTCACAAGTGTTAAATTAATATTTTGATATTTAATTTAATATTAGAAAAGAATTTTTTTAAGAATTTTTAAAGTGGAAAAATGTTGCTTCCATTTCTGTTACTTAAAATAACTTAAATTAACAACCATTTTATGCCACTTCCAGCTAAGTTTATTCTTTCAGTTTTAATTAAGAACTTTTCTGCTACTTAATTTTTAATGTAAAATAAAAAAATATTCTTTTTTTTTCATAGCCACCTTTTAACAAGGGTATTTAAGACTTCAACATCAGAGAAAACTTTCCCATGCTCCTTATATAAAAATGTATACAATTTTTCTAGTTATTTCTTACTGGCAACCTTTTCGCCGACAAACAGCTGCTGTTGCTGTCAGTTTAACACTGCCCCACCACCCCCCCTTTCTTTTTACACCCTCCCCCATAGCTGCTTAACATCACCCCCCTTTTTTTGGCAGTCGACGCTCATGCTCATGTAATTTGTTTTAGTTCTGTGTCCAACTCGAAAGTTTGTAATTAACATTGTTGAAGGGCGGTGGGAAAGCTGATAATCATGATGATGATGATGATGTTGCAAACTTTTAGCGAAACAAATATTTTCGTTGCAACTTTGTGAGTTGGCAGTGGCAGTCACACCTACGCACAATGGCTGGCCTCACCCCCCGCCCACCCCAAAAAATGATTTAATACAATTAATAATAATAATTAAATTAGCAAACAGTTTGGAATTTAATGCTCAAAAACCCATGGATGGCATCTACAAACTATTTGCAACGTTGAAAGCCATTTAAATGCAACACTTTGTTTTTTACACGTGCCACACAAAAACACACACACCCTCACACACACACACACACAGCTGAGTAAACAACATAAAAAAAAAAAAAAAAGAGACATAGACAGAGAAACAAACATGGGGAGTGGCCAGCCATTAGAGTTAAAACCACAACAATGGACAGGCGTTGAGGCAACTAACTGGCAAAAGGGTACAAAGGGTCCTGATCCAGGCGTAAATAAGTTGGCCAGAAAGGATTAACTATAACACACAACCCACCAACTAACACCCACCCAACCTGAATAAATAGTTTTCCAAAAAAGAAGAAAACTCTATGGCAACTGAAATGCATCATCTAGCCGGCATAGCAATTAAATGAAAAGCGTTAAAAAGGTTTTTCCTTCTAGATAATCATGGTTGGTTGTAAACCAAAACACAACGCGCTGTTTTTGTAGAGTTTTTAATGAGTTTCCAAGAGCTAAGATCTATAAGAAAAACATGTTTTGAAAAGTGATAAGAATTTAAGTAGCTCCGACAAAGTAAGGACTCATTAAATTTAAGGGTTAGGAAAAGGGAAAACCCAATGAAAAATCACACTGCAAGTTGGAAACTTAACTCTTAGATATTAAACTATTTAAATTTATTCAAAAAATTCAAAAAAAATATCGCCTCACGCACTCATCGCTGTTGGAATATTGAAATTGGTTATTTATTTTGCCATTCCTTTCAACCATTTGCAACCACAAAACATGGCAACAATGTTGGGTCAACAGAGGAGGAGGAGCAGGAGGAGGAGGAGGAGGAGGAGGAGGAAGCAGCAGCAGCAGCAGGAAGAGGAGCAGCAGCAGGAGGAGCAGCAACAGCAGCAGGAGTAGTGGCAAGTCGAGGAGTATAGCTGGCCCGCGAGGCGAATGCTGATAGACAAAAAGGACACATCGGTTGGTATGGTCAAATGACAGGTTGGTCGGACATGGCCAACAAACAATGAACCTGGCCTGAACAGCACCACCAGTAGCAGTAGCACACCTTTCCTTTGTCCATGTCCCGTTTGCTCCTGAATTTTGCTACTCCTTCCTACACCTGACGAACCACCAATGTTGCCGTTGTGTCCTGACAAACGGATGTGCACATGCAGCGGATATATTGATTGTCAAGGAATGTACATAAGCCCCAGTCGGTGTGTGTGTGTGTGTCAGTTAGCTTTTAACCATGCAGAGAAAGAAATTGTTTTTGAAAAGAAGTTCTGAGTCAAATTTAAGTCATAAAAATCCAATTTAAGTCCTAAAATTTCACTTTAAGTTTGTAAAATTCTTAAAATTTTATATATTTTCTTGATTTCTTCACTAGAAATGTTTATAAACACACTTTTTTTCCCCCAGTGTAGTTGCATTTTCGGCCATCAGAGCACGAACACACGGCGGGTTGCCATAGAACGACTTTCTGTCCGGTTTATTTTGATATTATTAGAACGCACAGAGGGATAGATAGTTAGAGAGAAAGAGAGAGCTCAAATTCGGTTGACTTCAACTGTGACACTGCAGGGAAGCTGGTCAAGAGTCAGTCAAAGCAAATATTTGCCGGGCTATCAAACCTAGTGAAAGCTTTGATTAAGATAAAGTAAAACAGATCGTAAAAAAAAAATGTTCAATAAACAAATAATTGAATTAATTTCAATGAAATTTAAGGTCTTTGTAAATAACAAGCAGGGTAAATTAATGATTTTATTTGCTTAAAATATTTATATAAAAATGTCTATCACCAAACTGAGCTTATCGTTTTGCCCAAAATGTGATATAACATTTCCTTACTCCTAATACCCCCCCACAAAAAAAGTCATTTCCAAAAAGTTGTCCATTAATAGTTTCACATTTGTTTTCCCTTTTTCTTGTTTTCCCCCTCTTTTTTTGGCTACCTTTTCCTGACAAATTGTTTTTAGCATATTTCTACTCGAACTTCAGTGACTGGCTTGTAATGCCGCCACAATTTATCTATCGTAATCCTCGGAATAAGCCAGGGATCTAGTGAATTAATTTATATACTTTGTGTGCCATAAGCGAGGAGGCTGTAGCAGCGCGCACTTACATTTGATTTTGTTTTTGCCAAACAAATTAGTTATGTTTTTGCGCCACCAAAATCCCTTTTTGGTTATCCCTTTTTTAAAGGGGAAAGTCCCCATCCCTATCCCTATCCCTATCTCTATCTCTCTCTCTATCCCTATCCTCCTCTCCTCTCTATCCCTATCCCTATATACACCCGGGACCATCCTTTCTATGGGCTATAATAAAATTTACAATGTTATCCCAAAAGTGTTGTCGAGTTTTTGTCATTTCATTTCATTTTCAGTTTATTTTTTCTTATCCTTTCTCTTTCCCTCTCTATCTATCTCTCTCTTTATATATATATCTATATATATAAATATAATTTTTTGTGTCCAGCTGGCGTTGGCGGCAGCCCACAACTATGTGGGCGTACAATGTCCTTGCGGCATGTCCTGGCTACCAGTGGCAAATACAAAAAAAAAACAAAAAATTGAAACAGAAAAAAAAGGGTGGAGAAAATGGGATACAAGGGCATGGAACTCTGTCCCCTGGCCCTGGTCATAATTCGCATATTAATGTTGTTCATTAAAGTTATATAAATTATGAATCACATTACACGACCATATGAGCCAGAGTCCTTTTCCCGTAATAGCTAGGGGGGGTGGCCAACAAGGATATGCTTGATTTTCTACATTTTCAAGGGAACTTGAAACTTGAATAGCTTTTGTTTGGAGGTTTAAATATAAATATTTAACTTTAAAAATATACAACTTCTTTTTCAACTTAATGAATAAAGAGAAGTTTTTTGTTGAATTTTTAAATGAATTCTTTGACAGTTTTTTCCAACACTTTTTCCCAACGCCATTAAAATTCCTTTAATTAACGATCGCTTTTCGTGGTTTTCTTGTTAATTTAAGCAAACATTTTGATGGGAAAATTTTTGAAATAAAAATTTATATTGATTGAATGTTTTCTTTAATTATTTTGTTCACCTTTTATTTTCCTTTTGCAATACTTTTTTATTTAATTTACTTTTGCCACTGTATTTTGCAACTGTTGCAGCGGCATCCTGTACTACCATCCAACCCCTCCCTATGCAAACATATTGATTGGCCGCCAACCGCTCTTTCACCCACAAATACAAAGAGCAAGAAAAAAAAAACGAATCAAGAGGGTAGACGGTAGAAAATGTTAACGTTTTCCTCTGCCACTTTTCTTTTGAGGGAGCGGTGAAGATGTGAAATATATGTCATTCATTTATGCATGCAACATTCTGCACTTGAAGAAGGAAATGGTGAAGGAAAGGAGGGAAAGCGAGGAAACAGCGGAATCAGAAAAAGGCTGTTGGAAAAGCACCAGCCCTCACCCCACTGATTTGATGATTGATTCGATTTGCCTTGCTGCTGAAAGAGAGAGAGAGAGATGGTAACAAAATGAAAATGTCCGCAGTGCAGTGAAAAGGGGAAAAAAAAAAGGAAAAGCAGAAAATAATCAGAAATGAGAGAAATTTAAGAAGATTTATAAATTATATTTATAAACAAAAATCACATAAAAATGAAATATTTCATATAGAGAAAAAAAGATTTATAAATCTTTAATTTTGATATTTTTTAGAAGATTTTCTTGGAGTTTGTCGACTCGTGTTGTCATCATTAAATCCTGACAAAGCAATTCTGGATAAACGCAAATGGCCCAAAATCCGCTGCGTCACACGGCTCCCCAGTGGGTTTACCACCCATCCACTACTAATAAAAACCTCATACCCCCTTTGAAAAAAAAAGCAGAGAATCTGTTCAACTCAATTGGCAAGATTTTCGCTTTTATTTGCACTCAACCGCTGGCTCGGTTCGCATTTATGTTTGCATTTTATTTGAAAAGCCATCAAGAGACGGACAAGAGAAAAGAAAATCGCCATTAGACGCAGGACCCGCTGCGTTATATATACAAGAATATATATATATATATATATATCTATATATCTTTATATATATATAAATGTGTCCTTGGACCAAGGCTCTGCAGTGCAGTCATCGGAAAGTATTATAAAATCAATTAAGTGCCGCAGGATTTCCATTTCCCCGGGGCCAATGTGTGATATTTAAACTTGAAACAAAGTTCAATGATGGTTTGTTTAAATTTTATTAGAAAAAGGTAAGAAATTTAAATGATTTTTAAAGTTTTAAAGGAAAATTTCAAGCAGTTTTAAGTAATTTTTTGCCTTTCTTTCAGATTCTCTTCTTGGCCATAATTAAATCAACAGAAACACATTACGCTTGAATAGTTTTCAATCCCATGCCGTCAATTACATAATCGCAAACGATTCTTTTTTATTTTTTTTTTGCTTTCTGGCAGACGGAAACCCAAGGCTTCCTCAAAGTGTCCTGCGGAAGTCTCTCCAGAGAGAAGTTGGAGGAGGCAAAGGCCTGCCCTTTGAATAATAAAAAAAAAAAATGGAAGAAAGCCAAGACCAAGGGGGTTGGTTGGTTGGGCTACTGTGTTTCTCTTTCAGTTTTTTTTTTTTCGGTTTCGTTTACGGTTAAGGTTACACAGGGCTGCCCCTCCTTGAACCGCCTCGAACCATGGCGAAAATTGACGGGCGGCCGAAAAGGAAGCGCTGACAGGCGGATTAACGCACAAAGCGAAAGCGGAAAGATGGAGCTGTTGACCCTGTCAAGGCATTCAAATTGCAGATAGCATTTTTGGGGATATTGTATATATATATTATATAGAATGCAGATGCCATAAATCACATTGATTTTGGGTTAAATGTTGAACAAATATTGGAAAAACAAGACCAGTTTGAGGTATCTCAGACAGAACCCTAACTTCTGCTTAAAAATCTCAACCTAAGTATGAAATATAAAATATTTAAGTAAATTCAACTGCAAAATAAGCAAGAAATAGTTAAAGTTATAGTTACTAAGTTAAAATCTCAACAATATTAACTTCCATTTCAAAATCTTTAAACCATTCCATAACCACCAATCAGTTAAATCGAATCTGCAACCTTTTACCATTGTAATAACATAAACCGTGTTAAATGCCCATCATTCAGAGGTCAAGCCAGATAAATTTCAACACATCCGGTATTAACCAGATGTTAATCCGATTTCGTACTGCTCATGTTTATCCATTATCCACAGGACATGGGCACACATTTTCTTCCTTCCTCTCACACCCCACTAGGAGAAACATACATAAATAAGCAGGCGACAGGCGGGACCACCTCCAAAAAAGAAAGAACCCGAAAAAAAAGGAAAGGAAGGATCAGACTCCCCATATAATACATGCCATATAAATAAATAAAGGATGAGGGGGCGGTAAGTGAGAGGTGGGCGGAAAATGCGAAACAACAGCAAAAAATTAAAACAGATTTTTGCCGCCACTACCGTCAGCTTTATCACTAATATAGCCACCCGAAGCGACCATAAAACCGTTTGCCTTCTATTGAATTTTATTGATTTTTCTTCTGCTTTTCTTTTTTTCCTCCCCCTTCTTCTTTTCCTTCTTCTTCTTCTTATATTTCCTTTTCGTTCAGCATTTGTCGTCAACGTAATTTGCCAGAACCCAACCCAACCCAACGAAAACCAAACAGTCCGCCCCCTTTGTGTTTGTCATTCTTTGAAAATGTTATTAAAAATCTGAAGAGGAAACATCTCGAGGCATCATATAAAGTTCCCTTATCACAGCCATCAAAGTTCTAAAGATAAAACTTGATTAGCCACTCGGATTTGGTGGTTGGCATTGTGATGGATTTTATACAGAATTTTCCAAAAGCCTTGTTGCTGGGTAACGTCTTGTGAGTTACTTGGCTTTCTCAACCAAAAGATTTAATAAGAAAGATTTAATTTAACAATTATTAAAATGAGTTAATTCATATTTCTTCCTTTTAGATAATTTATAATAGTCATAAAACAACGATAAATAACTGGAACAATGATAGATATTTCTCAAAGTGTCAAAACCATATGGATCCCTTGGAATCGAAAGCAATTTTGCAGCCAAACAACAAATGTGACCGCTTCCAAAGTGGCCAAGAGGCGTTGGTCATTATTTACCAAGGGATGCAACGGGTGCAGGGGTGTGTGTGTGTGTGTGTGTGGGTCGACCATACCCTCTTCGATTTTCCACCACCTCTACCACCTCCACTTCTCTTCGAGTTTTTCCCTTGCACACTTACGAAGCCCACACACTGATAATGACGTTAATGAAGTTCCACAGTTGCTGCCGCAGAAGTTTTCATCAGCTTGCCACGTTGCGTTACAAAATGTGCCCATAAATGTGTCACGCCTCCAATTCAACCACCCATTCCAACTTACACAAAACACCAACCCCCCCTCCACTGACTAACCATACACCCCCTCGACCCACACCACAACAACAACAGGAAAAAAAAACTGAAACACAGAATAAGAATGGAAGGTCACCGAAAATGGGAATGCTCTTGGTGAAAAGTTATTTAGATTTTGATTTAAATCGATAATATCGATTTTAGTTATCGATTTTAGTTATCGATTTTAGTTATCGAATTCAGTTATCGAATCTAGTTATCGAATTTAGTTATCAGTTTTAGTGATCGAATTTAGCGATATACTTTATTTATCGAATTAAGTTATCGATTTAATTATCGATTTTAGTTATCGACCTTAGTTATTGAAGTTCTTAACTTACAAAACAGTCAATGAATATTTTACAGTTAAGAACTTATACTAATTTTACTAATAATTGAGAAATCAAGTTCTTAATATTAAACTTTTAATAAGATCAAAGTTTTTCGATAACAATATCGATTATTTATTTTATTATAGCTTAAAAACACAACTCTGACTATATAAATGGTCTTTTTTTTAAATAGGAATGGTGATCAAACGTATTTTCAAACTGATTATATCCACCGGAAAGGGCATCGGAAAACGGATGGTCGAGTCATGCAATCAAAGGACCTTTGAAATGGCTACCGGTTACACATAATACGTCCGTAGTCCATTGCCCAGTACCGCCCAGACCCTGTCCCAGACGACGAAGAACCAAAAAGCAGAACCAGAACCAGTACCGTTTCCTAGATTTTCCCGGCTCTACGTGCCCACGTAATGCGTAATGCGGCGGGCGCATGCGAGAATCCCTTCAGTCGTAGACTCGTCCTTAAATAACATTGCGTTGTTCTTTATTGGTCGTTAAATCTCTTGCGGTTGTCGTGTCTTCGTTTTGGCGCGGCACCCATTTCCCCTACCCTTGCCACCCACACCCACACCCACATACATATACATAGATGCCCCTCCCTTGTGTTGTTCAACGCCACCCATCTATCCATCCGTCCGTCCATCCATCCATTCAACCCACCACCCGCCCACATGGAAAACTCCTTTGGTGGCCACGTTTTCCAACTGGATGTGAATCTTAAATGCGTCAGGCGCAATGGGAAATACTCGGGGATTTGTGCTTATAAATCTTTTTGCACAGCTTGCATATGAGAGTCTTTAATGGTCTTTGAATGCAAGTCAAAGAAAGATTGGATTTATTAAGAAAATGTGTGTCTTTTTTTTTACATATTCTTTGATTTTAGTATTAACTTTTTAGTATTAACTTCTTTTATAACTTCTTTTTGTTACATTTTCTGAATTTTCCACCATAGTGCAGGTGTTTCTGTTGCTTATTTTTCTTATAGGTAGCTGGCGAAAGTACGCGAAAGCAGCCCAAAAACCATTCGATTTCATTCCAGAACAAGCCAAAAAAAAGCAGGGGGTAAAGAAAGGAGGAGGAGGAAAGGAGGTTGAGTGGGGTGAAAATGGAGAAGGGGTGAAACAGAAGCAGTTGGCCAAAGCAAAAGCAAAAGCAAAAACAAAACAAAAGAGGACACAGTGGCGCCGTCTATCGTCGCGTTTTGTTGTTGTTTAATTTTCCATTTAGGGTTGAAGGAGAGAGCAAGAGAGTAAACAGGCGGCAAGGGTGGTAGATAGAGCAAGACAGGGCGAGCACAGCCCATCCCTGTGTTTGTTTTTGTATTAACGTTAACGTTTCGTTTTCACAAGAAAAAGAAGAACAAGAAGTTCGTGACGTTTCATTTCGTTTGGCTGATAAGAGAGGGCAAAAAGAGGCTAAAAGGGGGGGGGCGCAATGATGGAAGGGGTGTAAGCCCCCCCCGCATACGAAAATTTATCCACCCACTTGCATTCCACACGTTGTCTAGGCAAGTTTTCCTTTTGCGCTCTCTCTCTCTCTATCTCCCTTTGTTCTTCATTTCACTTTCTTCGCTTGGTCTACACT